TCAGTTCTAGTTCAGTTCTATTTCAGTTCTAGTTCAGTTCTAGTTCAGTTCTAGTTCAGTTCTAGTTCAGTTCTAGTTCAGTTCTAGTTCAGATCTAGTTCAGTTCTAGTTCAGTTTCTAGTTCAGTTCTAGTTCAGGTTCTAGTTCAGTTCTAGTTCAGTTCTAGTTCAGTTCTAGTTCAATTCTAGTTCAGTTCTAGTTCAGTTCTAGTTCAGTTCTAGTTCAGTTCTAGTTCAGTTCTAGTTCAGTTCTAGTCAGTTCTAGTTCAGTTCTAGTCAGTTCTAGTTCAGTTCTAGTTCAGTTCTAGTTCAGTTTAGTCAGTTCTAGTTCAGTTCTAGTTCAGTTCTAGTTCAGTTCTAGTTCAGTTCTAGTTCAGTTCTAGTTCAGTTTCTAGTTCAGTTCTAGTTCAGTTCTAGTCAGTTCTAGTTCAGTTCTAGTTCAGTTCTAGTTCAGTTATAGTTCAGTTCATTTCTAGTTCAGTTCTAGTTCCAGTTCTAGTTCAGTTCTAGTTCAGTTCTAGTTCAGTTCTAGTTCTATTCTAGATTCAGTTCTAGTTCTGTTGTAGTTCAGTTCTAGTTCATTTCTGGTTTTCAAATCCCCTTGTTCTGTCTACCTTTAGAATGTTGATAGGACCGAATATACTCTTTATGTTCTTTCAATTTACAATTTCTAAGGATTTCTTAAAACATCTACTAGTATTTTACTAAAAAAAAATAGAAGAAATACTTATATAAACAATCTATTTATACACAAGTATTTAAAGTCACTTCATTATTTAACTACGACATTTAATTAAAATCCTATTCAACTTTTCCAAACCCATTTATTACAAATGTTTATTGCATTACTTTCGCTTCAATTTTGTGTAAACAGCCCCCCTACAAAATAACAAAAAAAAAATAGTAAAAATGTAAAGAATTGGCTTTTATTACTCTAAAATACACTCGAACAAACAGAAATTTCTATAAAGCTACAATATATACTGTTAGAGTATATTAATACAACTTACAAATACATTCACTTACAAAATAAATTCAGCCATATTTTTTAATAATATTAAAACGAAGTAAAGGAGAACGGAACTGAAAAAAAAGAACAAGCCACTGGTATAAAAGATGGCAACATAATAAACTGTAAATAGTCTCTTTTGTTTTAAAAAGCCAACAAAACTTGACCACTAGTGTGCATTTACTCAGTCCATATCCAGAGTCCATATCGCTGTTGCACTTATAAAAACCCTGCAATTCTTAAGATGGATATTTTAAGAGATACTTATTTACATAGATGTCGATTTAAGAATCAATTTCGGTTCAGTCGTAGTACAGTTTAAGCTCAACTGTAGATCAATTCAGTTTAATTTTGTTATAGTTGTAGTTTAGTTCTAATGCCTTTGAATCCCGATTTTTTTAGACTGCAGGGTGGAATCCATTACAAAATCATACATACACCCAATTAAGCACTAATGCACCATATTACAACAATGTATTTTATATATAAAATATATTTTAGTTTTATTTTTATTAAAAGCACTAGTTGTTGCTTTAAGGTGTTTTTCGAACTTCTTATACAGCTTTCTCTTTAAAAAGTAAGAAGAAGTGAGAGAAAGGAGATTTTCTATTCTCTTTAAATACATATAATAATAGAATTTTTATGTCTGAAGGTCCTGGGGGCAATTTGGTTTGCAACATAAAGGGGTAGTAACCAAATTAGAATAAAGTGATTTAATGGAAATGAATTATATTACGAAAAAAGTTTTTAATGTACTTGTATTCGGATTTAAGAAATTATATTATTACTGGCATTTAATAATGTGGAAAGGGGTTTTGTTTTAAATTTATATATATGGGTGAATCCATATCAAAACGGACAGAAAACAGCAATTTTCGGATTTACCATCTCCGATTTTAATGAAATTTCCCACACATATTATGGTTTGAAAGTGTTCTTTAAATCAATGACTTTTTGATCGGAATCCCATTCCAGACCAAAAATATCGCGCTTTGAAAATTTAAAAATATGTTAAAATTGTCTAAAAGTATATACATATAATTGCCCATAACTTTAAAATTCCTTTAAGTACAGGATAATTTTTGATTTCGTTATAAAGCCAAAGATATTGTCTTTAAAATCGTGCAAAGAAAATATTTTACTTCCAAAAGGTTAAGGGTCAATTTTTATAGTGTATTGTTCGATGCCAAATATATCAGACAGCCCCATATTAAAAATTATTATAGGACATGGTATGAGGATACCTATACTCTCTTCTATATTTTAGTGAAATTTTTTCGATGGAGACTCGTGTAGTTCAGGAGTTATTAACCAAAACGTAATTTAAAGCAAGTTTTTTATACAAAATCGTATGAAAAATTAAACAAACAGAAAAAAATACAAAGTGGAATCAATTCAATTTATATGGAAAATGCTATGTATCTCTTAAACTGCAGGACCAATTTAAATAAAATGTACAAGAAAATTATTAAGAACGATTTAACCTTACTGAAAATTTACCTTTTTACCGCCCTGTTAAAATACAAGGTGAGGTATGTGGTGTTAAATGAGAGTACTTCGACTATAAAAAAATATTAAAGCTTCACAAATCTGCAAATAAGCACCGATTTGGCTGAAGTTGAATTTTTCTTATAGTAGACAATACAGGTATTATAAAACTTAATGGTAGTACTAAGTTATAAGTAAAATTGAAAAATTATTTTAGTTTAATTGTTTAACTTTTGTCCACTACATTATTTAAATTATATCTCTTAAACCCTTAAATTTAATTAGTATTGCAATATGGATCTAGCTTTACTGTATTGTATAGATTACGAAAAGTTTATGATCAGTTAAATTTGATCTCATTTATAGATGATAGAAGCTTTAAAATAATTTTTGAAATCGAAGAGTTAACTTCTTAAACGCTGTTTTCCACCTCTTATTTTAATATTGTGATGACAAAGGATACCTCCAGTAAGGCCTGATCGTCCTTCATAATTTTCTTGCACATTTCATTTAAATCGGACCAGTGGTTTATGAGATACAATGTAATTTACCATATAAGTTGAAATTGATTCTAATGTGTATTTTTTCTGTTTGTTTAATTTTTCATACAATTTTGTATAAAAAACTGGTTTTAAATTACGTTTTGGTTAATAACTCCTGAACTACACGAGTCTCCATCGAAAAGTTTTCACTAGAATATAGAAGAGAGTTTAGGTATCCTCATACCATGTATTTTTAAAATTTTTAACACGGGGCTATCTGACCTATTTGACATTGAATTATACACTATGAAAATTGACCTTTAACCTTTTGGAAGTGAAATATTCTGTTTACACGATTTTAAAGACAATATCTTTGGCTTTAATATGAAATCAAAAATTATGTTGGACTTTAAGTAGTTTCAGAGTTATGGGCAATTATGTGTATGTACTTTTAGGAAATTTTAACATATTTTTCAATTTTCAAATCGCGATATTTTTACATTGGAATGAGATTCCATTCAAAAAGTCAATGATATGTGGAACATAGTATATATTTTATATGTGTGGTAAGTTTCATTAAAATCGGAGATGGTAAATCCGACTGCTGTCCGCTTTCACATGGATTCTCCCATATACAAAATTTATTTTTCAGGAAAAATGTTTTAAATTTGAGTAAATTTGTTAGGTTTAAGAGCAGTGGGGAATTTAATTTAAAAAGAACATTTTTAATATATAAGAGAAAATAAGTTCAAAATAGTTCAGTTCTAGTTCAGTTCTAGTTCAGTTCTAGTTCAGTTCCAGTTCAGTTCTAGTTCAGTTCTAGTTCAGTTCTAGTTCAGTTCTAGTTCAGTTCTAGTTCAGTTCTAGTTCAGTTCTAGTTCAGTTCTAGTTCAGTTCTAGTTCAGTTCTAGTTCAGTTCTAGTTCAGTTCTAGTTCAGTTCTAGTTCAGTTCTAGTTCAGTTCTAGTTCAGTTCTAGTTCAGTTCTAGTTCAGTTCTAGTTCAGTTCTAGTTCAGTTCTAGTTCAGTTCTAGTTCAGTTCTAGTTAGTTCAGTTCTAGTTCAGTTCTAGTTCAGTTCTAGTTCAGTTCTAGTTCAGTTCAGTTAGTTCAGTTCTAGTTCAGTTCTAGTTCAGTTCTAGTTCAGTTCTAGTTCAGTTCTAGTTCAGTTCTAGTTCAGTTCTAGTTCAGTTTCTAGTTCAGTTCTAGTTCAGTTCTAGTTCAGTTCTAGTTCAGTTCTAGTTCAGTTCTAGTTCAGTTCTAGTTCAGTTCTAGTTCAGTTCTAGTTCAGTTCTAGTTCAGTTCTAGTTCAGTTCTAGTTCAGTTCTAGTTCAGTTCTAGTTCAGTTCTAGTTCAGTTCTAGGTCAGTTCTAGTTCAGTTCTAGTTCAGTTCTAGTCAGTTCTAGTTCAGTTCTAGTTCAGTTCTAGTTCAGTTCTAGTTCAGTTCTAGTTCAATTCTAGTTCAGTTCTAGTTCTAGTTCTAGTTCAGTTCTAGTTCTAGTTCAGTTCTAGTTCAGTTCTAGTTCAGTTCTAGTTCAGTTCTAGTTCAGTTCTAGTTCAGTTCTAGTTCAGTTCTAGTTCAGTTCTAGTACAGTTCTAGTTCAGTTCTAGTTCAGTTCTAGTTCAGTTCTAGTACAGTTCTAGTTCAGTTCTAGATCAGCTCTTGCTCACTTCTAGTTCAGTTCAAGTTCAGCTCTAGTTCAGTTCAAATCAAAATTGTAGTTCAAATCTGTTAATTTCGTTCGGTTTTTAAAACTTCAAAAATTAAGATCCCTTGAAAATTTAGAGCTTATATTGTTATCACCCATTTTTTTATCATATTTTTTGATCCAAACCTAAATTCTCTTTTACTTGTAAATAAAAACCCTACATGGGTTCATATACTAGCAGTGTATAACTGTACAGAAATTATATTTAACTTTTCATTAACTTCATTATTGTCTTCTCATTTTGTGTTTCAAATATTTCCCTATTTTTTATTTTTTACCTATTATTCAGTATTTTTTTGTCTGTTTGTTTGTTGCAGGTGCCAGAACGTGTACGAGCCATGAATGCCAGTATTAAATTGTTGCTGATAGTAAGGGAACCGGTGACAAGAGCCATTTCTGATTACACTCAATTACGAAGTCATGCAGCAACAGCCACACTACCATTAGCCAACGAACAGCAACAGCAGCCACAACCAACAATAGCACCTTCATCGTCGTCCTCATCATCTTCATCGTCGTCAGCAAATGCGGGTAAAGTGTCCTCACATTCAATGTTGTACAACAAATTAAATGCTGGTTACTCCTCATCGCAAGTTTATGACAATTCATTAGGCGGTGGAGGTGGTGGTCGTGGGAGTGGTAATGGTAATGTGTATGGCTCTGGGGCAGGTGGAATTAAAACAAATTTTAAAAATCCATATAACAGCCATCGCCACTATGAAACAACAACCGCTAGTCCACAAACAAATATGGCCAATTCTGCAGCACAAATTTTGTCCAAGTAAGTCAGTTAATTTTTTTTTGTCACTTTTTCCCACTTTGTAATGCATTTTATGTTCAACAACATAAACTGTCAGGACAATGTGTAAAGAAAATGAAAATATTTAAGGTGTATACCTTGAATAATGTTTCTCCAACAATATTTAACTGTTTATTTTTTTTTTCTTTTTTTAGATCCTTTGAGGAGCTGGCTATATTTCCAAATGGTACTGTAAATGAATCCTATCGTCCATTAAGCATATCTATGTACCATTTACATTTACATCGTTGGTTGGAAGTCTTCCCACGTGAACAGATCTTGATTGTCAATGGTGATCGTTTAATTGATGATCCTGTATCCCAGCTAAAGAAGATTGAGAGTTTTTTAGGTGAGTATTGTTTTTGTTATGTCGTATATAATACAATAAATTCACAGAAAAATTGGCCGTAGATCCACAAAGTGTAAAGTTATGTATAAATATAAATTTCTTGATAGTACTTATTGTTCATTTGATACCCAGCATCAATCGGAAAAAATACTAGTATGATCAGAAAAAATACTAGTCGAACGGGAAACGGTTTAAGCTATAAGGTGATGGACTTCATCATTCGAAATAGTTTTTAAGAAATATTCTAATATGTGGCCAATGCTTGCTTCAAACGACTCACCTGCTTTCGGTACCGGTTCTTTGTAACAGACCCGTTAAATACGTATGAGCTTTTATGCTACAAGTTATTGTAATGAGTCCATTCATCATCGAAAATAAGGATTCAGTGAAAAACGTCCAAGTAACATGTCGGACATATAAAATCTTCTTTCATGTCCCTGAAATTTCAAAACGTTTTGAGTAGGAAGGACTCCGTTTTTCCAGGAAACCATATGTTTTGATTAGTTAGTTAGTTAGTTAGTAGTTAGTTAGTTAGTAGTTAGTAGTTAGTAGTTAGTTAGTTAGTTAGTTAGTTAGTTAGTTAGTTAGTTAGTTAGTTAGTTAGTTAGTTAGTTAGTTAGTTAGTTAGTAGTTAGTTAGTTAGTTAGTTAGTTAGTTAGTTAGTTAGTTAGTTAGTAGTTAGTTAGTTAGTTAGTTAGTTAGTTAGTTAGTTAGTTAGTTAGTAGTTAGTTAGTTAGTTAGTTAGTTAGTTAGTTAGTAGTTAGTTAGTTAGTAGTTAGTTAGTTAGTTAGTTAGTTAGTTAGTTAGTTAGTTAGTTAGTTAGTTAGTTAGTTAGTTAGTTAGTTAGTTAGTTAGTAGTTAGTTAGTTAGTTAGTTAGTTAGTTAGTAGTTAGTTAGTTAGTTAGTTAGTAGTTAGTTAGTTAGTTAGTTAGTTAGTTAGTAGTTAGTTAGTTAGTAGTTAGTTAGTTAGTTAGTTAGTAGTTAGTAGTTAGTTAGTTAGTAGTTAGTTAGTTAGTTAGTTAGTTAGTTAGTTAGTAGTTAGTTAGTAGTTAGTTAGTTAGTTAGTTAGTTAGTTAGTTAGTTAGTTAGTTAGTTAGTAGTTAGTTAGTTAGTTAGTAGTTAGTTAGTTAGTTAGTTAGTTAGTTAGTTAGTTAGTTAGTTAGTTAGTTAGTTAGTTAGTAGTTAGTTAGTTAGTTAGTAGTAGTTAGTTAGTTAGTTAGTTAGTTAGTAGTAGTTAGTTAGTTAGTTAGTTAGTTAGTTAGTTAGTTAGTTAGTTAGTTAGTTAGTTAGTAGTTAGTTAGTTAGTTAGTTAGTTAGTTAGTTAGTTAGTTAGTTAGTTAGTTAGTTAGTTAGTTAGTTAGTTAGTTAGTTAGTTAGTTAGTTAGTTAGTTAGTTAGTTAGTTAGTTAGTAGTTAGTTAGTTAGTTAGTTAGTTAGTTAGTTAGTTAGTTAGTTAGTTAGTTAGTTAGTTAGTTAGTTAGTTAGTTAGTTAGTTAGTTAGTTAGTTAGTTAGTTAGTTAGTTAGTTAGTTAGTTAGTTAGTTAGTTAGTTAGTTAGTTAGTTAGTAGTTAGTTAGTTAGTAGTTAGTTAGTTAGTTAGTTAGTAGTTAGTTAGTTAGTTAGTTAGTTAGTTAGTTAGTTAGTTAGTAGTTAGTTAGTTAGTTAGTTAGTTAGTTAGTTAGTTAGTTAGTTAGTTAGTTAGTTAGTTAGTTAGTTAGTTAGTTAGTTAGTTAGTTAGTAGTTAGTTAGTTAGTTAGTTAGTTAGTTAGTTAGTAGTTAGTTAGTTAGTTAGTTAGTTAGTTAGTTAGTTAGTTAGTTAGTAGTTAGTTAGTAGTTAGTTAGTTAGTTAGTTAGTTAGTTAGTTAGTTAGTAGTTAGTTAGTTAGTTAGTTAGTTAGTTAGTTAGTAGTTAGTTAGTTAGTTAGTTAGTTAGTTAGTAGTTAGTTAGTTAGTTAGTTAGTTAGTTAGTTAGTTAGTTAGTTAGTTAGTTAGTTAGTAGTTAGTTAGTTAGTTAGTTAGTTAGTAGTTAGTTAGTCATTAAACATTAATAGCTATTTTGCTAAAATCTCGTTTTTTAAATTAAACCAGTCTTGCAGTTAATGAGCGATATTTTTCTTATATTTCTTTTATATGTATCTGTATATGTTTAAGCCATTGCATTACTCCCTTTATAATAAACATTTCCTTTATACTTTAATTTGTGTCCGTTGCAGGCATTGAACATCGTATTACCAGTAATCATTTCTACTTTAATGAAACGAAAGGATTCTACTGTTTACGCTATGACAGCGGTGACCGTTGTTTGCGCGAAACAAAAGGACGTAAACATCCTCATGTTGATCCGGTTGTCATCTCCAAACTGCGTAAGTTTTTCGCAGAGCACAATCAACGTTTCTACGAATTGGTTGGAGAGGATTTGGGTTGGCCCGAAGAGTAAAAGAAGGTAAGACAGACGGATAGACAGACAGACAGGATGTCTGCATTAACAAAGGACGTGTGTTGTGTGTAAAGTATGTGTATAAAATAAATAAAATTATTTAAAAAAAAAGTAGTTAGCAATTGGTGTGTGTAAACAAATGATAATGAAGTCATAAACTGTAGCAGCAACAACAGAAGACAACATGAACAAAATTAAAACATTTTAACGATTCCAGAATATTTGTAACTATTAAATTAAAAAATCGTTGAAAAAAAAACACAAATTAAAATGGAAAACTGTATGAAAAAAGCCCAAAACCAACATATGAAAAGTAAATATTAAAGAAACAAAAAAATGGAAAAATAAGCGCAGCAATTAAGAAAACAAGGACTGAAATGCAAATATAAATACAAGTACACAGGTTTTTTTTTAAGTATATAATTTTTTTCGTTATAATAATACATTTTTCCTACTTTTTGCTCGTATACTTTAATTTACTTGTGTTGATTTAAATTATTATTTATGTTAAATACCCTACACTGTGCATTAGTTGTTAAAAAAGATTTTTGCTACAAATTAAAACTAAAAAAAAAGCTGATAAGGCGATTTACATGTAAGTGAAGTTCAAGTGAATTTAATGTTCTAACCAGTATCATCAAGATACTATATATCGTCGGAATCATTTCGCTTTTTGGTCTCAGATCACTATCGCTCTTTATTTCTGTTATTACTTGTTTCTTAATACTCTTTATATTTTCTCTTCAAAATTTCAATTAATTTTATTATTTTTCCAGTTTTATCTCTTAATTTATTTACTTATTTTTCGACACTTATTTTCCTTATTCGTTTATAATTAAAACGTATATATTCATACAAACGAGTACACAAGCTTAATGTCAATTTGAATATGTATGTCGGAAAATATTTGTTTATTTATTTGTATAATACAGATTATTTTTTGTGCAAACTGAAAACTGTCAGAAGGTAAGACTTGGAAAGAAATACCCAGCAGTTTTTTGGGCCACAAAAAGAAGCATTTAACTTCTTATATTAGACAAAGGCCCAGGTCAGATGATCGCGCTTTGCTCAAGTTCTTTTTAGACAAAGACCCGAGTGAGACGATCACGCTTTGCTCAAGTTCTTTTTATCAATCTTCAAGATAACTGAAGGGTACATGAGAATATCAATCTCTTACATTACTACTTGAAAGAAAATTTTTTAGAAAATATTTCCTTTAAACTGACTTAAACGTCCTTGAATTTCATAAAGATCCATAATGTGTTTTTAATTACTATTATAACATATTAAAATAAAATTAAAATTTACTACGCTGAACTTATCCCATGTACAGCAGGACTAACTAACTATTAAAATTGTGCGTGATAAATACTACCAAAGTGTTTAAATGTAAATATTTATCGAAAAATAAGTTGAAATGCAAGAATTTTCTTTTAAAACTGATTAAAAAGATTATATAATATGAAAATAATTGAAAATATCAATAAAATAGTATACACATTAAGGTGGCTCTATAATGGTAGTTGCTGATGTACCCATCTGAAGTGAAAATTTAGTATACGGTGAACTAATTTAGAAGATAATAAGGTCTTTTTGAGGTTTTAAAGATCAGGTTTTTGGGCCAATGTCCTTCCGTCTAGCTGTATGTTTATGAAAGTGTGATAGATAATAAATTTAAAGACAACTCGATTTAACAGCTTTGGTCCAATTGTAATTGAATGACTTTATCAGTATTTATGAAACATGAAAATCTTTCTTTAGAATTATTAGATATTTTAAACTTTTGATCGCTAAATATAGATCGAATTCTTCAATCGATCTTTTATTTTCAATATATATATAAAAATCTTTTAGTAGTGATCACAGAATTCTTGTTTCTCTGAAATAGTAAATAAACAATCGTTTGCTGAATATTGTTACTCAAGTAATCTATGTATAGTTTTTTTCTAACGATCGTTATGTTCAAGTTTGTTTAAATCGATCACTATTCATAGTCTATTCCTAGCTGAAGAAATTTTCTTCATAAGAAAGAAAGGATCATCGATCGTGTTTAGTTTAAATGAGGAATGAAAATAACGCTTACCTATCTAGTTTTCATAAGCAAAAAAGAAATGATCTCTACTTCAAGACTAATTTAAATTCATAAACATATCGATCACTAGCCTGAGATTGTTAACTTAAGTTTTTTTTTTTCGGTGCAAATTTTTTATACAATAGAAAAGCAATAGTTATTTTATATTATTATTAAAACTTAAAAAAATACGATCGAACATTTCTTTTGTCGTGTGTCGTTGATCACTATATAAGATCAAACTTTTTTCTAAATATATAAAGATTTTTTCTGCTTTGGTGCTTTTTTCAAAGAAGGAAATAAGCAATCATTTTCATAACACATATTATTTGACAAATGGCAGTCCGACAGTGGACTAAGGTCTGGTAGTTAGTCAGAATATTGGAATATGGAATATGGTCTGGAATATAGTATTGTATGTAGTTAATACTATTGTATGGTATACAGTCAGGACTACTGTTTCTTTGAGAGTCTGGGTTATAGACTAGTTCGTAATCTAGTCAACAGTTTGGACTATTGTCTAGAGTAGATTTGGATAACATTCAGGACTGTACCCTGAATTACAGTGTAGCCCAAAGTCCGATCTATTGTCTTGTATGGCCTATATTCTGCACCGTAGTGTGAGCAGTAATGTAACCTAAAGTCTGGACTGCAGCCTATAGTATGGATTAAAGTATTGTCTACAGTCTTGACTTCTATATATAGTCCACGCTATATTCTTGTTTGGACTATAGTCTTGTCTATAGTGTGGTTAGTGCTGTTTATAGTCTAGGCAAGACTATAGTCTAGTCCTCTCTATAGCTTAGATTATAGTTTTATCTATAGTCTGGACTATAGTCTAGACTATAGTCTTGTCTTTAGTCTTGTCAATAGTCTAGACTATAGTCTTGTCTATAGTCTAAACTATAGTAGTGTCCGTAGTCTAGACTATAGTCATGTATCAGTTTGGACTATAGTTTTATTTATAGTCTGGACTATAGTCTTGTCTATAGTTTGGACTATAGTTGCGTCTATAGTCTGGAAGATAGTTTAGTCTATAGTCTGGACTATAGTCTTGCCTATAGTCTAGACTATAGTCTTATTTATAGTCTGGACTACAGTATAGACTATAGTCATATCTATAGCCTGGACTATAGTCTGGACAACAGTATTGTCTACAATCTGGACTATAGTCTTTTGTATAGTCTGGATTATATTCTTATTTATAGTCTGGACTATAGTCATGTCTATAGTCTGGACTATAGTTGTGTCTGGTTTCTGGTTTTATTTATAGTCTTGACTATAGTCTTGTCTTTAGTCTGGACTATAGTTGTGTCCATATTTTGGTCTATAGTCTTGTCTATAGTGTCTTGTCTATTGTCTAGACTATAGTCTTATCTTTTTTTATTTATAGTCTTGACTATAGTCTTGTCTTTAGTCTGGACTATAGTGTGTCCATATTTTGGTCTATAGTCTTGTCTATAGTGTCTTGTCTATTGTCTAGACTATAGTCTTATCTATAGTCTGGACTATAGTTTTGTCTATCGTCTGAAGTATAGTCTTGTCTATCGTCTGAACTATAGTCTTGTCTATAGTCTGTTCTATAGTCTTCTGTATAGCCTGGACTATAGTCGTGTTTATAGCCTTGTCTATGGTCTGGCTTATAGTCTTGTCTGCAGTCTGAACTATAGTCTTGTTTATAGTCTGGACTATAGTTTTGTCTATAGTCTGAACTATAGTTATGTCTATAGTCTGGGCTTTAGTTGTGTCTGTAGTCTGGGCTATAGTGGTAAGTTGTAAAGTTGTAAAGCCACCTAACAAGCTATAGTTACACTAAAAACTATTATGCACAGTGATTAGGAATGTCTTAACTCAAAATGTACTTAAATTTATTATAGTTTTATTTTTAATTTTTTTTTTAATATAAAATCGAAATGAAAAATTAAAAGCAATATTTTTTTAATTTTTTTAAAATTTAAGTAAAATTAATTAACGAAAAAGCCGACAAATTTAAAAACAAAACATATCAAGCTAAAAGACACAAAACAGAATTTTACTCTAGAATTAAAACATATCATTAAAAATAACAGAAAATTTAAAAAAAAAACTAAGCTAAAGAAAGAAATGAGAAGTGAAAGAGAAAAAAAAATTTAAGCAACTCAATGTGATTTTTTTAGTAATTAAGTTTAAATTAATTTAGACATTTTTAAAAAAATTGAAGTTTAAGAAATAATATTAAAAAAATAAAACATTTATAAAATGTAATAATAATATTATTAATTTAAATATATATTATTTTTTCGGTAATAAATGGCTGAATAAATGAGTGCAGAAAATTTCTAAATAAAAATTAGAAAAAAAAAATTCAAAAAATTTAAATAAGAAAAAAAATAAAACTAAATTATTAAAAATATTTAGTTTTGAATAGAGAATAATAAAAATAATAAAATAAAGTATACATAACATATTAAATAAAGTTACTAAATAAATTAATTAAATAATTAAAATTTAAGTAAAAATAGTTTTAAGCAACAAACCTTACAACTAAAACATATCAATTCCACAGTGAATATTTAACAAAAAAAAAGAAAAATTGAAAACCAAAGAAATCGATACATATCAGTTGGTTTACACCAACAAAATCTTATATTAGTTTTAAGCTTAAAAAATATATATAAATATACTTTATTGTTATAACAAATTTAACTCAAAATATATTATAAGTTTAACTAAGCTTTTTTACTTTTATGTACAATTTTATTTTTTTTTTTCTAGAAAATTTTTAAAATCAACTATACATATCATGAATATAATTGAAACTTTTATGAAAAACTTTACTAAAATATAACTGTACTTTTTTTTTGTTAATAGTTTTTAAACTGCACTGCCTTAAATTTACAACAAAAGAAAGAAAAATTATAAATTGTTATTGCACATTTTTTATATGATTTTGTATAAAAAGTATTTTTTACTTAAAATTCAAATTCAATTGGTATATTTTAGAAATTTAGAAAATTTTTAGCATTAAATAAAAATTAATTGTTAAATTTGTATAAAAAAATAATTAAAAAAATATATACATGAAATTCATGTTGCATCATAAACATATCATATAATTAATTCTCTTAAAAATTTAGAAATATTTACTAAATTAGTTAAATTAATTATTTCTGAAACCAATTTTCTTTAATTATTAAAAAAAAATCTATAAAAATTAAGTTTAACTCACGAACAAGATCCATACACTTACATCTCAATAACTAATCATGTCTAAACTACTGGAGTGCACCACGAACTGATGTTAGTTCAATCAATCCGCCCTATAATTCAAACGGTATTATTCAACTATTTAACTTCACAAGATACGAAGATAATCGATAGATCAATATTTAAAAAAAAAAACGATCACTTTATACAAGAAAATATTGATATCGAATTAAAGATTTATTGATCGAATTTTCCTTTCTCGAATGGTCTCTTCTTTATAAAAAAGTACACTGAAACGAACTGTACTAATAGAATCAATCGCTCAATATTAAAAAACTCGATCACTCTGCACAAAGGGAACAAGAAATATACACGCCTGGTATCAAATTGACACCAAACATTCTATATTTTTTCAATAACATCCGTTGTCAAAGTATATACATACACTGAAACAAACTGTACTAATAGAATCAATCGCTCAATATTAAAAAAAAAACTCGATCACTCTACACTCTAGAGGGAAAGAAAAATACACGCCTGGTACCAAATTGACACCAAACTGTTTATAATTTTTCAATAACATTCGTTGTCATACGTACAACAACACTATGTAATGTTAACAACATTGCAACAATTCCTTATCGAAATCTAAATTTTATACACATCCGTTGTCTAAATGTTAACAAACGTGGTAAGCTCACTATTCACAAACAATCCTTTGCCAATAGTGAGCTTACCACGTTTGTTAACATTTAGACAACGGATGTGTATAAATTAGAGTACATTATATACATAGTGTTGTCGTACGTACATATGTATATACTTTGACAAAGGATGTTATTGAAAACTTATAAAATTTTTGATGTCAATTTGTGTATACAAGAAAATACTGATCTCTAATCAAACGATTAGTTCGTCGATTTATTGAATAAATTTTCGTTTTTGTGAATAGACTTTTTTATACCCTGCACCACCAATTACAGTTGAGAGGGTATTATGCATTTGTGTTGATGTTTATAAAACCCATAAACATTGGTCCTACATCCTAATGGACGACGTGATCTCAATCTACACAGATGGCTCAAAGACAGCTCTACTGCCTCTTCGACTACCTGACACCTGCACGGTCCTTCAGGCAGAGATATATGCCATCTATACTGCCGCGAGAAGAATCCGGGAACTAAATCTCGAAAATTCGTCTATACATATATACTTGGACAGCCTTGCATCAATCAAGGCTCTTAACTCCAATGTCATTAAGTCGGAATGTCTTCTCAATTGCATTCAATCGTTGGCACAACTGACACAACATAACGTTGAGTAGATATGGGTTCCAGGACATGAGGGTATCCGGGGAAATGAAATATCTGATGAATGCGCAACCAAAGGATATTCACGCTCCCCTGACGACCCTATCAAAACTGATAGATGAATGGGCTCTGAGTGAGACGGAACTCAGGTGGTCAAATATCACCACTTGTAGAATATCGAGACTGCTCTGGCCCACTCTGACAACAGATAGGATCTCCTATCTCTTGATAAGAACTCGATTAGGCTTCTAACTGGTATAATTACTGGGCACTGTATGATTCGACATATGTCAGAACGTATGGGCTGCCCAAATCATAGCTACTGTAGAAGCTGCTTAGACGAAGAAGAAGTGGAATCGGTACAACACCTTCTATGTGACTGTCCAGCCTTACAAGAGCACAGACTACTGTATCTGGGTAGAGCTCTTTTCCATGATCTAGACTGTCTCAGAGATGCGTCACTGATAAACATGATCGGTTTTATTAAAAGCACCGGCTGGTTTACATGGAGACCGAACGAACCAAGTAGTCAACGAAATTAGGGAGGGTAACCATTCTCTCATCGCTAGGAAATGGTAATTCTAAGGGTATCACAATGGGCCACAAGGCCTCCGAGTGAACTCGCTTGTTAGCGAGCAACCCACGTAACCTAACCTAACCTTGGTCCTACACCCACCTTAAAGTATGCCAATCAGTTAAAAATCACTTTCTGAGTCCATTAAGCTATGTCCGTCTGTCTGTCTGTCGTCTTTGTGTCCATGTAAACCTTATGCGCACTCTACAGGTCGCAATTTTTCAGATAATTTGATGAAATTTGACACATATCTTTCTTTGACCCAATTACGAAGCCTATTGAAAATGGTTTAAATAGGAGCATTATTTCGTGTAACGTTAGTTCAGGTTTGCTTCAGTAAAAAGAGAAATCAATCGCACTAAAGAAAAAACGATCATTGCTCAACGAAGATAAGAAAAAAACTATTATTTCTTATACAAAAAGTAATAGATCGCCAATTCAAAACTTTTTTGAAGAGAGAACATAAACATATCGATCATTTGACGTAAAATAAAATGATCGAAGATTTTTTAACAGGAAAATCGATCGCCATTACTTTAACTCTATAATTAGTGATCTTTTCTTTTTAAAATAACGAAGATCTTGCAATGATGATCACTAAATTAAAAAGAAAACCTCGAACGCTATTCAAAGTCTATTGTTAGTACAATGGCTTTTCTATACAAGGGAGAAATGATCAGTGATCGCTTTTGTTTATAATAAGAAATAAAAAGAACAC